CTCACAGCGCTCACTGGCTGAGCGTAGTGCAGCCGGTCTCAAAAAGGACAAAAAAAAAAAAAAAATTGATTTTCTCCTCTAATGGCTTATATACAATTCATGACAACCTAAATTAAAAATTCTTTTTCTAAAAGCAAACAAATAAACAAAAAATCACTTAGGGCACTGTTAACTGGTAATCTACATATGGAATTCAGGCAGAGGAATTAATAACCTATGATGCACCTCCTCAGCTCTATGTATGTAGAAACTTTCAAATTAAATATGAGGGATTTTAACTTTCCCACATTCGAACAAGAATATGACTATACTTACAATGTTCCTAAGAGATTTTTCCCTTAAAAATACTTGATTAATGCAATTAGCCAATTGTAAAAACAAGTTCTTATTAGTAAGGATATAAAGATTGTTTTGGAAGGAGCAACCTGGAACGGGTTATCTAATTTGTCTAAAATGAACGTGCATCACACATTCAAATAAACAAAATTAATTTATTTAATTTTTTCAAGGGTTGTCTTAGCAAGGGCTTGATTTTTCCTATTCTTTAGAGGAAAAAATGTGTATTCCGTTCAGTCAGGCATCTTTCTATGCTAGTACTTACAAAGATATGTATTATACTATTGTCCTCCAGGGGGCGTTAAATCTTCAGCAAAGCTCAGAATTCACTGGAAGACATTCAAATCTAGTTAGGAAAAGCAGACAGCCTGACGTCCTCCCTGCTGGGATGCAGGAGTTCTAGGACTGACATCCTGTATTTTACATATGAGAGTTATCTCGGGCTTCTAGACCAGCAGTTTTTAGTGGGCTAAGGTGGGCATGAAAAGCCCATCCCTGCTGGGATGCAGGAGTTCTAGGACTGACATCCTGTATTTTACATATGAGAGTTATCTCAGGCTTCTAGACCAGCAGTTTTTAGTGGGCTAAGGTGGGCATGAAAAGCCCACGCCCTGGGCTGTGTGTCACTAGCCTAGCCACGCCACATCACTCTGAGTGCTTTGACTCTGTCCCCTCCAGCAAAATCTCAGAGACTATTGCTACAGATAGAAATTATGGGGCTTTCTAAGGGCATAAATGTGATTTCTGGAGGCCGAAAGATAGCTTAATATGGACTGGTGATGGCCACATGCCTCCAAATGGCAGAGAATCCCTCTTTCCTGCATAAGTCTCAAAAGGGGCTATTTTGCTGGCATTTTTAATGGAACCATCACTTAGGAGACTGCAAACTTATAGGTCTGAGGAACCAGGAACCTTATGTAGTAAAGTTTGTGACTATAAGGTGGTATAGTACAGTGCATAAGAGATCCATAGATTCTGGAGTTGACTGACTGGGTTTCAATATCTGCTGTACTTTCTATAGACTCTAGGATCTGGAATTACTTACTTAGCTCCTGTGTCTCTCTCTGATTCTTTATTCAAAAATACCATCTAATAGGGTAGTTAAATTAAACAATTTAAACTAATTAAAACAATCTGAAGAAAGTGCTTGTTGCATAGTAAGTGTTCCATAAATGCTCTCAGTTACTACTATTCCTCAGTCTGGAATTTGATCCCCACCACATAGTTCCAGCCTTGTATCTTCCTTCTCTCCTACAAAGACTCCTTCATTCCAAATATGTCCCTATACTTGTCTCACTTTGCTTCTTCTATCTTCCTTGCCTATGTCATCACCTCATGAGATCCCACCCAAATTTCAATGATTGTCTTAATCACATCTCAAAACAAACAAACAAACAAAAACAAAACCACAATTTCCTACTCCAAGAACCGAAATGTGCTTTCTCCTACCTCTGATCAATGACAGGGACACAATATCTTAATTTTGTGGCAGGTGCACAGGTGTTAACATTTTTTAAAACTCACAGTATTACACTTAACATGGGTGCATTTTTAAATATGTAAATTATACTTCTAGAAACCAACTCAGTAAGAATGGAATGAGAAGACCTGTCTCTGGAGACAGAAAAACAAAAATTTAAGTTCTAATACTTTCTACCTAGTAAGTCACTGAACTTCTTTTCCCTGCAGTTTTCTCCTATGTGAATAGAGCAGTCATCACCTTCTAATCTTGCAGTGAGCATTTAGAGACACAATAATAGTTTACAAGTGTCCTGCACACTGCTTGCACACAGTTGATGCTACATGATTATTAAGCCTTCCTTTCTAGCATAGCTATTACTATATTTGTCACACTCCCCTGGCTGCCAGAAGGTGATCTGGAGGACAGAATATGTGCTCTCTTTTTCTTTTCTATTGTGGTTAGCAGAGAGAGGAAGCACGATAATTATTTGCTTTCTATAGCTAAACATACCTACTTTTGAAGAGCAAACTCTAAAAGCCATCCCAACTTTTCTTGGTCAATAATTCAGCTATGGCTCCCCAGTGTACAGTAGGGCTAATAACACATCTTTCACTATGATAGTTCTTTAGGTTCACAAGGGTTGTCTGTTTTTCTTTAAAGCATGTGAAATGACTGTACTGTTCTTTTGACCAATAAGTAACTCTGTTTTCCATGGTTCAAAGTTAAGCTTTTATTTGGTTTTAAATTAAAAAAATAAATTTCATTATTAAATAGTGAGATGGATCTAACTAATGTTCAGATAGTAGCTTACTCAGGAATATACCACCGGGGGTACAATTAAAGGGATGAATCACCTAAACTAAAATCATTTGTTATGTTGTACTGTTTGTTAAAAGTTCAATAGTGGCATAATCCAAAAGAAACTGAAATACAAAGTTTTAAATGTTTACAATGGATAGGAGAAGTAAACCACTTATTCTACCACACTTGCAAACTACTTTCTTCTCATTGCCAGTCAGTTTGAACACTATACCACAGTGCTAATGTCATCGGGTTCATCTGCTTTCTTTTGTCTGCTTGGCAGGGATTTCAAGTATTCAAGGTGTCTCCGGGCATCCTCCTGATTTTGCCTCACGTAATATACCACATATGAGATCACCATGGTGAACCAGCCAAACATGGTGACCAGCATGGCATAATCGGTAGTTTTTTTAGGGAGGTTACAAAGGTCAGCATCATTGGCAGCATTGAGGAATGGTCTCCCAGCGTGTTCATCCAACACAGAGGTCTTACAGATCACATTGTGGGCTGTCTCATGATTGGATGCCATGCTCCTCAGAACTTGCTGTAGAGTACAGTCGCAGTGCCAGGGGTTGTTGGCAATTCTGGCCCTTGCCTTCAGGTTATTGAAGGCATTTTTGTGCACACTTTGAATCCGGTTGTCGGACAAGTCCAGAGTCTGCAAGGTTTCAGCTACTCCTTTGAAGGCATGCTCATCGATAAACTCAATGCCGTTTTTGGACAGGTTGAGAACTCTCAGTTGATGGAGGTCCTTAAAAATCTCATTGGGGATAGATGTGATCTGATTGGAGTCCAGATACAATAAAACTGTTTCAGGAGGAAGATCTCTAGGTATTTCCTTGAGATTCGCATTGCTACAGGTGACATTTAAACCCCCAGAAGAAGAACAAAGACAGCCCTTGGGACACATACTGGCAGAATGGAAGCACAGTATCATAAGAACAAAACTTTGTAGGAGGAGACACATGGAGAGGGAACGGGTTAACCACAGGTCTACCAGATTCATGCTGGAATGTCAGCATAATCACAAGCCCATTCCTCATGTACTCCAACAAGTGTGGCAATGATTCCAGCCCTGTCCACACCGTTGATTTCCTTTTTGACTAATTCAAAAGGCTGCAACTAACACATGTGTTTCTTCATTAGTCCTGTCCTTGCTTGGGCACCTAAAGGATAGAGAAAAAGATGCAATTAGCTCTTGCACAAAGGGAGGTATGCTGCATTTAAAAATACTCTCAGCTGTCTGGCATTCTGTGTGGGCAGGAGGGTTATGCAGGTAATTTCCATCAATACCACCAGGAATTATCTGCATAATAGGAGTCTCCTGCTCAATCCCAGGTGCTGGGGGAGAGGACTGTTAATAAATGACAACATTTCTGGATTCTGTTGCCTTCTTTTTAGTTGTGTGGAATTACAGCAAACAATATCGGTTTTTCTCATCTCTACCGCCCCTCTCCACATTCTGGACCCCTTCTAAATTCTTCAGCAATAAAATGTACTTGTGTCTTTCACCCTCCCTACAATAACAAATGCAATTAATGCAATTTAGCCCTGAACTTGGGCAGCAATGAGAAATAATACCCATATTTCATGGTTAATGACCATAGACATGTCTATGGCTATTGAATGGATGTTCAGTTTGGAATATTGTCTCTAAAGAAACATCTTACTCAAATTAAGAAATAAGTGAATGCATGTCAACCTTCGCAACAAAATGTTGCTCAAGGCTGACATCCAAGAACTCCCAGAAGAGTCGCTTCCCTTGTGACCTCCTGAGATTCCATTTTACCTGAAAGGATGCCTTTAACTGAACTTTCAAAGGACTCTGTGTTTTCTAAACAACATATCCCCTCCTCAACAGAACTTCAAATATGACACACACCTACAAGCCTGTTTTATATAAGAAACTAAGAAATACTGACCTCATACTTCCCCAATAGCCTGTTTTCCAAATATATATATAT